TTTAATTTAGAATCAGTTTTAAACTTTAACAAATCAAACAGACTTATAAACTGTTGACCTTTTGTCTCTAAAATGTCAGAAAACAGTAAAAAATGTGCTTTGAAATGTCCCACAGCTCCGTGTGACGTACACAATCAACTTGTTTTAATGCAAAAAACAGCCTAAAACCCAACAAGATGTGATTTTTAATAATATAAATGACACTTTAGCCATTAATTCTGAGGGTATTTTTTACATTTCCACCTGAAAATCCTCCCCAGATTTTGTCAGCAACCGCTGCAAAACTTAAAGGCAAAAAAGAACAACCTCAGCCTCTGGATACGAGACAATTTGAGAACTTTCAATTACATAATTCTCTTTTTCCTTCCTCACAAGACAAGTGAGTGAGATTCACAAAAATCTGTAAATTAGAGAGCAAAAATCAGCCTAATGACAATTAGTCAGTGACGCTGTTTTAAATACTCTCAACTGCAGCTCTACCAAATCGGATGCAACACAAATGAAGCACAACAAACGCTGCATCCATTTAAATCGGAGTAAATCAGAGAATATACTGTGCTTTGCCGCCTTTAAATAATGGTGTCAGTTGCATTGGAAAAGCTGAAAAATGACAAAAACAAATCATCTGTAATCACAATTTTTGCTAAATAACCTTTCTGTTGATCATTTAATTGACTAATTGTTGCCGCTCCAGTAGTTTTGAGCCAATAAATCTTATTTAACAGATGTTTGAGCCTCATTACTTCTTTTATTTTGTATTTCAGGACAAATTATCTCAAGCAAGAAGGAGGAACTAACGGCCATCCTGGACCACTTTAACATCCAGGTACATTAAAGCTCATTAGAGTTGATTTTTATTAGTGTTTCACACTATTTGGGGCTGGTTGCATGCGTTTACTACTTCCTGCAAAACTGTATTCCAGCTGGATAACCCAGTGTCCATCCTCAGCCAAGAGATGAGCAAACAGTTCCTGCATTCAAAAAGTGAATCGGACAAGTACAAGGTGCAACATTATCACATTCAGAATGATCATCGTTGGCTTACATCTGTGTTGGGAGAAGCTCGGGTCGCTTAAGTTGACGGTCTTTGTTCTGGTTTTGCAGTTCTTCATGAAAGCGACTCTGCTGGAACAGATGAAGAGAGATTACGTCCACATCAAACACACTAAAACAGTCACACGGCAGCAGGTGGAGAGGCAAGAGGAGGTAACGTTAGGATTTCTAACACAGCAACGAATGCTTGTTTTTATAGCAGATGCGTTTGTCAGTTATTTTGTCGGTTAATAGATTCGCTGTTTGGGCCACACAAGGTCAGAAAATGGTGAAAGATATTCAGTTTACTGTCACAGAGGAGGAAAGAAGAAGAAAATATTCAAATTATAGAAGCTGGGATCAGAGAATTTTTGTAGTTTTTTTTCCTACAAAAGCCAAACCACTAATCAATTATCAAAACAAACTGATTTAATAGTTGACAAGTAATTGATTAGCCATTGCAGCTCGACTTAAGACGTTCAATTTATTGCCACGTATGACAGAGAAAAGCAGCAAATTGTCACATTTGAGAAGCGGGAAACAGAAAATGTTTGAACTTTTTGTGATTCAAGTGTAACAGACTGGAATCAGAGAAATTTGACCTTTTTTTTTCTTCTAAAAATAAAATCTTGATTATCAAAATTATATCAGAGTAATCAAATTCTTTATCAGCTTTTGATTGTTGACAACTGATGAATTAATTGTTGCAGCTCTGGTTGTCTCGTGGTGCTTTTTTCTTGGTGCACATCTTTAGATAATATCTCTAAACTCTTTGGCTTTCTTTTGGTTTTGGGTCATTTATTTGGAGGTCGTGCATTAAATTCTACTTGTTTTCTACCTTTTTCTCTCTCTCTGTATCCATGGGTTAAGTTGGGCGACGGCTGCCAACTCACACACTAACATAACTCTTGAAATCTGCCTTTAGACTCAAACAAATGTACAGATTTGTTTATTTATTTGACTTCACTGAACATCTGTAGCAGCTGACTGTCTCTGCCCTGAGCGTAAGGCTGTGCACATTTCACTGAAGTGGCTCAGCAGAGGTCACTTTGTTAATCATAATGAAATAACAATAGATTAATTCATTATTTACATCCTCTGACATGTCCGTGTGATCGTACGTAGCTTTACTGACCTAAACACAGAGCTGATCTGCACAGATTCACAGGAACAAAACTCTCTCATTGAGGATGAATCTCTTTTATAGCAAAAGCCTTTTTTTTCTGCTGTACAAGTGGATCATTGCAGCGAGTTTTTAGTTTCACTGCTTGAATGCAACAATATTTACAGTAGTGGAAGAACTGCAAGAATGGAGCTGATCTAAAACACTGAAGTAAATTTTAAAAAATAATGAGGCAACAGAAAGTCGGCCCTATAATGCAAGCAAGTTTATTTATATAGCAGCTTATCACACACACAGAGGTCATTCTAAGT